CCTGCTGCAGTGGGCGGGAACTGCCCGAACCACCAAAGCTCTCCAACTCTTTTCTGAATTGATTTGGACCTTTTAATTGGTCCCCTGATTTGATTTGGATTCAGAGATTCAGCCACCGAATCAGGCTGAATCTCCTCCAAATCGAATCAGCACCCGAAGCTTCGCACAGCCCTATCTGCAAGTCCATCAGACTGTGGATATCTTGGGCTAGGGGTAATGTGTGTAAATCCATATTCCCTTGCAACAAGCTTGAACTCATACCTCTCAAATTGTGGTCCATTGTCAGACCTGATTACAACTAGTATGCCAAGTTTGGCAAAGATAGATTTTTTGTGTGTTATTACCATTTTTTTACCTTTCACTGGACTCTCAAATTTGTCCACATCCTTTCTACAGTGGGAGGCAGAAAACTGGACGCAGTACTCCAGATGTGGTCTCACCAATTCCGAACAGAATGGAATAAATCACTTCCCTCAATCTGCTGCCAATAATTCTACTAATGTAGCCCAGTATGCCATTAGCCTTCTTTGCAACAAGGGCACACTGTTGGCTCATGTTCTGCTTATTGTCCACTGTAACCCCCATATCCTTTTCTACAGAGCTGCTCCTTAGCCAGTTGATCCCCAGCCTGTACCGTTGCATGGGATTGTTCTGTCCTAAGTTCAGGACTTTGCACTTGTCTTTCTTGACCTTACTGAACTTCAGGAGTAGGTGGTAGCAAGGTGGAGGTTTTTAGGATCTAATGTTGTATGTAGGTGCTTACAGGGAGAGTTAGGTAACATTTAGGTCCTTTTGTGGAAGTAGCCCTTTGCCCCCAAAACCAGACAGCACGTATGGACATATATTTCCTGGTATTGTGATATGTTCTCTGCTTTTGCTTCTTACACAAGTTACTGTTTTGCTTTACAGTTTGCTTTCAGATTCAGTTTCAGTTTAGTATCCTTTTAACTTTCCATCTGCCTCTCCCTGAACTAAAAAGAAGATCAGAACGTTCACTGGCTTCTGTTCATCCTCCTTTCCAAGCTCCTTTTTAATTTGGACTGTGACATGTATTTAACCAACATCTGCAAAAAAGTGACTATCAAAGAGCAGAAGAGGGAAAGGAAGTTTTAAAGCTGGGGAAGGAAAGCAGGAGACCTTCACACAATTTTTAAAATCTGGGATACAGCAGAGGATTCAAAGGAGGTGTAGTGGCATGATGACAGCCCCCTTTTGGATCACATTGTGAGAGCAGCAGCTGGGGACTTTTTTAAGTACCTGAAACAGGTAAAAATCCCCTTCTCAGCACACTCCCCCCTCAGTACTCCACAATACCTCCACTCCCATCCCTTACACTCTCCTACCCACTGCTGCCTAACTCCAACTTCAGAGCCACTCCTTCCCCACTCCAGTTCCACTGAATGGGGAGCCAGGATCAGGTGGGCTGGTTTCCCCTCCTTGCCCAGCAGTGGGATGGTTTCTCCACCCTGCCCAGTCCCCATAGCTGTTCCCTACTAGGCCAGGAGCAGGAACAGAAACATTGTTCCCAGAAGTTGCATCTGTGTTTGTCCCAGAACAAAGATATCCCAGGATCGGTGCGTACACACATTGCCCTAATAATCACCATTTAGTGAGTAGCGGAATGCACTGTCACTTTTCTGCCACTGATTAAATTAGGGATGGGCAAAATGTGGCCCATGGGCCAGATGTGGCCCACCAGGCCATTCTATCCAGCCCGTGGGGCCCCTAAAAAATTTAGAAAGTTAATATTTATCTGCCCCTGGCTGCCTGTCATGCGGCCCTCGATGGCTTGCCAAAACTCAGTAAGTGGCCCTCTGCCTGAAATAGTTGCCTGCCCCTGGATTAAATAATACAATCCTGGGATAACTGTATGGACACATTTTGCAATATCCCAGCAAAAACTGTTACTACTTAGCTGAGAACTATTTTTTTTTAGGATTTTCCCCAAGACAGCAGGCATGAATGTCTGCATACTTGCACTTTATCCCAGAATAAAATGGTTTATCCCAGTATAAATGCAACTTCTGTCTGCAGCCTAAAAGAAGCATCTAATTAAAAAGAAAACTTCTTACTTGAACTATCCAAGTCAAAAGCATGATTATCCTCTCCAAATTTCTTAATGCTGCACAGAGCAACAGGATCAGACATGATGATTTGCTTCTATAACCTGGAGCCCTGAGAAGACAAAAAGTATGACCAGATTTATGTCTTTCAAAATAATAACGTATTGTATGGGTTATATTCTGATCTTAAATTACATCTCAGCCATTCTAAGAGAACCCAACATTGGATTAAGAGCAATAAAATAACTAATACAGACTATAGTCTAACAGATATAATGAAAGTACAGGGAGCTGAAGCAAAAGCACATTTAACTGGCAAAGACTGCCTGCCGAATAAGTGTATCAAAAGGAATAGATTATTATCATACTTTGTAAAAATGCTTCAGGCTCTAATTGAGTGTTTCCTAATGTGGTTGTAGTGAGCACAGTTGTAGCACATCTATACTTTATTCCTTAATTATTTGTCCTTTAGCAGTCATGCTAGAGGAAACCATGCATTAAGTTAGGCTACACCCTCTAGGTAGTTTATAAAATGGAGTTTTAAACACGGTTAACCTCCATTGCCTGCACCCCCCAGCATGAGTTTTAAAAAACCTTCAATCAGTCTCTTTATCCCATTAGAACTGATGGGACAGCATCTGTATGAAACAGGAAAGGGCATGTCCAGGTTTCTCACATAGAACACAAAGGGTGCATCTACGCGTTCATTAATATGCCTTAGATACTGCACAATTAGTGTACTACTTCCCTAATGAAGGACTAATGTAATGTGCAGTACCTAAAGTTACTGCACAGTAGTGCCAGCACATGGTTATTTAGTTTCATAGTTTCTAGGGTCGGAAGGGACCTGAG